TTTTTTGGATGAAATAAAAAAGGAAATTCAGATACAAAAGAGCACTTGTTTTCAGACAAGTTGAATACTTCTTAAGAGTTTCACCAGTTTTGGCCTTCGTTCACCAAATTTGAGTTTCTTAATCTCAGTGTTTATTCTATTGTACTATTTGCTGCGACAAAGAGCTACTTCGGTATTGTGGGTACCACTGGAAGTGTCGGCAGGGTGTTCGATGTTATTGAGCTGGGACATACTTGTGTAAATTTTGCACTGAATGTTGTTAAATACGCGAAATAAAGAGAAGGAAAACAAATGTACAAGAAAGAATAATAGTTACGCGTTTCTTAAGACCTGGTTAGACATTGACTACGATTTTAGATATTTCTGTAGATTATATTAGGGTATATGATACCTCCCATATCAGCTCAATTGATCACACTCTTGAGTTAAACTCTGCCTATGATGCGTTCCCTCTAAAGCCTTAGATTTTACTAGGGGAAATTTTTAAAGTTTTGTCTGTTCCTCTCAAACCCACCTTTCGCGTTTTTCGTGAGTGGGAATCGATGGATGTTTAAATTCTGAATAAGATCTACTCGGTATATTTTCATTTAAGGAAAGACAACTCAACAAAAACTGTGATAAAGAAAACTGAATTTCAGTTTTTAATGGGAACGCACCATAGCCTACAATAATTCATTTATTATTTATAAGTGACCACAAAGTTACAACAAAAAATATCAATAGAATGTTGTCTTGATTTCATTTTCTTTATCTTTTTTCAGCTTTTTCTAATCTTTAATGCCTCGTATACCTATTTACCCTGAAGCGGAACAACTCATTGCTCTAAAAAGTCGCACAAGGATAGAAAACATCCAATCCAATGATAATTCAGATGTCTTACCTGCCCAAAATTCAAAAAGGACAGGTAAAAAGAAACACTTGAAGTATTGTTAATGCCTCACAAGCTAATTTGCATAAAGATACCAAGAGAAAAGATACTTTTGATGTAATAAAAGCAAAAAAGGATGGAAAGAGAAGACACCAGGCAGCTATCTCCGAAACACCATCCTCTACAAGTAGAATAATCTGTAGTTCTTGTCAATAGGAGGGACACAAATCTGCAAGAAGTCGCGCTTGTAGGAATTACAACCTGAAATTAGATGAGCTTCTACAAATTAAACTTGGTTCAAACCATCAAAGGTACACTGTTTCCATTCCTTTTGCAAGCTTCTGTAGAGAGACTCCCAAAAAAGCTAACTCCTTGGAGAAGATCAAGACAATATCAGGTTTTATCAGGGAAGCGATATTGAAATCACAGCTGTTTGTGAACTACTTTATATTGAAACATCCAAACAAGTTGACCAATGGCTTTTTTGAGCAAAACTTTTGGCATACCATTTCAAGAATTGTTCGTGCTGGTCCAGATAAAATCAAGTCCATTCTAGTGGACTATCGAAACAGGCGAAAAGAAAGGCCGAATGAAGAAAACTTGGACGTTGATCAACTCACAAATTCATTTGTTTATCTATCCTCCACTACCACACATGGTAACTTGTTTGTAGAAGAGAATGGGTTAAGGAACTACGAACAATCTCTATCAACTGCCTGTGAAACTGTTGCAACCAGTTATAATAATTACTATATTGAAAATTTCGAAGATATTATATGTAATTACTTCTTCTATACTCTGAAGAGAAAGTATCCGGTAAGTGATAGCAAAACAAAAAAAAAAATATCTAATGCATTCATATTAACCTGTGTGTTTTAGAATGTAAAGGTTGGTTACATTAAAAACTTGGTGTATAACCATGTATATGATGAAATACTCATACGTTGTGAGCCATCCTCTATACCTGATGAAATACTTGGCCATTTTGATTCGGATGTGGCTTCTAGTCTTTCCAGTTTTTTGAATCCCTTAATTTTAGAAATAAAGAACCGTATGCTCACGCTTCCAGTGTCGAAAGTCAGCTTGAATAATGGACCTTTCAAAATTTTACCCGTCTTAAGGCATATCCTAGAAAAGTATGAAAATTTGCATATGGCACAACCTTCTTCGATTGACAAAGACAATGTCAGCAAGTTCGTATATCCCAGACTTTTTAGTTTGTTTCCGAATCCCGGATTGGGCTGGCGATTTATAAAGGTCGACGCTCAGAACCTCACAGGCATTTTCCCCGAGGCAAAACAAGAAAAGCAAATCAACGAGTCTCCATTTAATCATAACCAAAGGCAATTCTTCCAAATGTTTGATTTTAAAAAGCTGGGATTTCGAAGGTATTACTGTTTGATATTTTTATATTCAAGTTATTAATGATAATTACGTAGTTGGGAAGAGCTCAAAAATATGCTCGAGCAAAGAGGAAGGATGTTTCTTAATGGAATGTACACCGATGGTTACATGTGTAGAATGCTGTTCTGTAGAAAGGTGCTTCCGGCGCCGGCAACAGATGACGTTTCTCTAGAGGTAAGTGATTTTACGACCGACAAAGTAGAAAAATATTTTCGTCCATATACTGTGGACCAAGGAAGAAAGGATGCCTTTGTCTCTTACTACAGAGGTACCGATGTGCGCCGCTTGTCCTCTGCTGAGTACTACGGTATGGGTGGAAAAATAAAACGACAAAAACTACAGCAAGAGCGTAAAAAAAGCTTAGGCATTGAAAGAATTGAAGCAAATATGTCATCATCGAAAACTGCATCTCTTCAGCGATACATGTCATATATAAATTATATGCTGCAACACATGGACATCTTGCTGAACTTTTACAATTTTGAGGCCGCAAAACTAAAAGGCTAAATTATGTTGGGTCTCAAAAGGCCATTCAAGAAGGTGCCAATATATTGTTGAATAGTGGTAAAAAATATAACAAATCAAGACGAAAAAAAATACAAAGAGAAACAGAAAAAAAGAAGAAAAGCACGAAGATCTGCGGTTACTCACGAGGAACACCCACTTCCTAACCCACGATCTGAAAGGTATATACTTTTTTTTTTCTTTTTCTTTTTAGTATAATTTAAGCAATGTTCGTATCTTACAGAAGGAAGAATAAAAACCTCTTTGAAGAAGGCGACTGTAAAAAAATGCCTTTGGTTATCTTTGGTGACGGTCTAAAGAATAAAGACCATGTAAGGTTTAAAGGTCTTAGGCATGGTGTCTCGAGCATGATTTATAAGCAATTAAAGCACAGAGAGGGTTTTGGAGAGTTGTTACTTCTCGATATCAACGAATTCAAGACCTCCAAGGTTAGTATAACAATGATCATAAATCATATATTCTAAACAGTATCTTTATAGACCTGCAATTCTTGCTTAAGCCAGGGCCATCAGAATCTAAAATGTGGAGAAGGTGGTAATGTCAAAAAGATCCATCAAGTATTGAAGTGTAACACTTGTAATATTTTTTTGGAACCGTGATGTTATGGCAGCTAAGAACATGCTTCTCATTGCACATTGTATTTGGGATGGTCAAGGTCGACCTAATGTCTTCAAAAGACAACCCACCACCTCCAATGTGGTTGCCTCGTCCTACTCTGGTGGGGTGCTGGTTTAAAGATTTTAGAGGTAAAAAGAGCAATTATTACCTGAATTTAAAGTACGAATACTGTAAGTAAGATGGAAAGTGATTCTTAGTAACCATAAATCCTCCCGTTTTCATCCAAAAACTGGCGTCCTACAAGGGTCTGTTTTATCACCTTATCTATACTCAGTCTATATCAATAGCCTTCCAAATTTCTTACGACCAGCACCTCTCGTCGACACAGATTTTAATGATCCTCTCATTGTCGCTCCAAAGTTAAACTGCCTATTGTATGCAGACGATGTAGTTCTTATTGCTGATGCTGATTCACTGCAGTCCCTCCTTTCCAAATGTGAGGAACATAGCCTTTCCTTAGGTTATCGATGGAACCCTAAAAAGTGCGTCGTTGTTGATCCCAACCCCTCACGTCAAAAATACTACCTCTACAATAGTGAGCTACCCAACGAAGATTACTTCCCGTACCTTGGTGTTCCTATAAAATCCGGTGGTATTGTCGACAAGTCAGCACTCTTACAACAAAACATTAATAAAGCACTTGGAACGATGAGACAATTGATTACCCTTGGTGTCAACAAAAATGGGCTTGATTACCTCCTTTCAACACGCTTTTATGCCCAGATAGTCCGACCACAACTGGAATATGGTCTAGCAATTACAATCTTCAATTCACGAGAAATTCAATCTCTCGAAAATTGCCAAAACCAATGCATTCGTCAGATCTTCGGCGGACGACCCTTCACCTCTACCAAGGTAATGCTACACTTAACAAATTTACCAAACATGAAGGATCGTATTTCCATACTTCAGGCACAATTTCTTTTCAAAGCCTCCTTCCTACCCGACGATGCATTATTAACAAAATTGCTACCATACATACAATCACAGCGTACCTCGAAATGGCCCCAACTATCCAAATCGCCTCTATGGACATCATTCAGCAATGAATATCTCGAAATTATGTCTCATAGTAACTTTATCAGAAAACGAAGACAGTTTTTGATTGACAACCACCGTACGAAGCTCCAAGAAAAGCATTCTAAACTTCTGTCCCATTGCCGTAATGATCTAATTGTCGACCCTATTCTTCGGATACCAATGACAAGAAGTGAACGGTCTCGTTGCGTGCGATGGCGACTTGGTTGGTTACCTCTTGGTAAACCCCAAGCTTGTCCCTTTCATCCAAATGAACTTTTTTCACGTCAGCATAGTTTTTCTTGTTTAGATATGCACAACCGCCTTCAGATGCCCAAATCTATTGATGATCCACTTTCCTATCTTTTGAACCTCTTACCACCAACGTTCCTTACCAAGAAAGCGAGAAAATCAATCGGTGCCTGGCTCATTCGTTGGCCTTCCATATGTGCAATATTACTCGAAATGGACTACTTAGCTCACTCTCAGTTTCCTGAAGCTTCAAACCATCTTGGTGA